ACCCTCCCCCCTTCTCTCTCTCTCACTCTCTCTCTCTCTCTCTCTCTATCTATCTATCTATCTATCTATCTATCTCCCTTTTTATCTATCTATATCTCTGGCGTTGACCAGATGATAAAGACATGAGGTAACTTGAGGGAGGCATTGCGCTGCCAAGAGCGAAATGCTTGCAGCATTCTCTCTCTCTCTCGCTCACCCCCTCTCTCTCTAGATTTTCTATCTACTATATTCATCCAACTATCTTGCTCGATCTCGGTCTCACTCTCTCCTTCTCTCTTTCTCTCTCTTTCTCTCTCTCTCTCTCTCTCTCTCTCTTTCGCTCACTCTTTCTCTCTGTCCCCTCTCCAATTGTAACCTCTTTCCCCTCTTATTTCTTCCACAGATCCTGTTTTTCTCTACCTCACTCTTCGAGGACGCCGGGATCTCCAAGAGAGAGTCTAGATACGCAACGTCGGGCATTGGCGTCATCTTTTTTGTCAGCAACATGGTGTCCATCGGGATCTTGCCCAGGTTTGGCCGGAAGACCATATTCCTCATGGGAACTATTGGAATGGCAATTTGCTGCGCTGTTTTAGCTATCTCAATGCTGTACAAGGTGAGGTTTGTCTCCACAAATACTTACATGTAATTCGTTTTCTGTTCACCTTGTTTTGCTTTTAGTTTTAGGCTTTTTTGTTTCTCTGTTTCTGTTTGTGTTTTTGTGCTATTGTTGTATACCTTCGTGTGCTGTTGTTTTATTATAATTTGTAATAAAGTTGTTATTTAGAAGCGGGATGGAAAAGGAAAGAGTTGGAGGGGGATGGACAAAGGATTAAAGCATAATAAATTATACGTGGGATGTTTCTATTTGAAATGAAATCAGGTTCAGTTTTCAAAGGACACAATAGACAAAGACAACCTAAATATATTTTTTTCGTTTCATTGTTGTATTCATTTGTGCAAACTGTAGCAGAACTTACAGTCCTGTACCTGATCTTGTTGAAATATCTTCTTACCAGCCCTTTTGGCTATTTTCATTCCGAGGTGTGAATTCTAACTATCAGTGAATAGTGAAGGGAGTTGCTAATACTATTTCTTGCCTGTCGACATCAGTTTCAACATAGATCTACTCTTCAGTACTCCTCACAGAAGACTGAGATCGATTCAGGGTGGGAGAATTATTTGAAAGAATATCTTTGTCTTTTTGCCGACAGATCCCTGGCTCAAAGCAAGCCGATCCTAGAATGATCAGACATTAAATCGAGAAGGAGAGCGTGGGGGAGGGGTGGGGGAATACACATGTGCAATCTTTACAGCTTAATTTTATCGACCTCAGCAGAAAATATTTGGGGGTGGCTGTTTGAATTTGGTGTTGCTGTTGTTGGTGGTGGTGGTGTGTTTGTTTGTTTGTTTGTTTGTTTGTTTGTTTGTTTGTTTGTTTGTTGTTGTTGTTGTTGTTGTTGTTTGTTTGTTTTGTTGTTGTTTTGTTTTGTTTCTTTTGTTGGGTTGTTGTTGTTGTGTTGTTGTTGTTGTTGTTGTTGTTGTTGTTGTTGTTGTTGTTGTTGTTGTTTGGTGGGGGTAGATGGAGCAGGGGCGTTGTTTTGTTGTGTTTTTTAATAATTCAAAACCATTGTATTGTCTAGTGTGCAGGCTTAGGTAATGGGATACCAGTGCCAATGTTCACTTAATTTATCACGTTAAGATTACGTGGTATCGTTTTACTATTATTTTTCTTGAGCATTTCCTTTCTTTAATTCAGTAACGTAAAAAAAATATATTTCTCAGTTGTTCTTCATAACAGATTAATAATAATGTGCAATGGTTGACATGAATATGAAAAGATGACACGATTTTTTTCATTAAAATATATTTAGTATTCCAAAGCCTTCAGTTGGAGTTTTATTCTCTCTTCTGTTTCAATGTAGGAAGAGGTCACAGCTCTGAAGTACGTGAATGTCTGTGTCTCGCTCATGATCATCGCTTTCTATGCCCTGGGACCAAGTAAGTATAGCAGAAGGCATTTTCATGAGATTATAAAAAACACAAGTACGTTTCTACCCTCTGAAAGCAGATTTTTTCTTTATTCTTTTTCGGATTAAAGAAGGTGCAGGGGATGCTTTTATGTCTTTAATTCTTAAGACTATTGGAAGACCTGCGTAAAAATTCGAAATTATTTTAATCGATTTGCCTTTTTGAGGATACAATATACAATCTTAAAACATTAAAATTAAGGAAAGGTACATTTTGGTTAGCCGTGAGCCAATGGGGGCCATAAAAGCGTTTGTGATAATAACAGCAATTTTAATTGTGTAATGCCCGTTTTTCTCTCAGTGATAATCAGCAACCTATACTCTCTCTCTCTCTCTCTCTCTCTCTCTCTC